CCCGGTTATAAGACATTTCGACAATGGTAAAATAAGACCAGCAAAGCCGCCCAATGCGCCGACATCCCGATAGGAGCTGCACATATCTCATTCTCAGGGCAACACTAGATGAGCAATCCATACAACTAAAACCAGCCCTCAAGTTTCCCCGAGGTGGCGCTGCAAGGGGCTCTAGTTCGGACCAACACTTAGACAAGCACTGGCCCGGGGGGTTAAAATAAAGATGACCCTTGAGTCTGCAGAACCCAAGGGAAGGTGATAGGTTGTTAGGAAAATGTAAAACCAAGGTTGGGCCTTGCTGGAGGAGTTTTATTCAAAGTGAACTGCCAAGGGGTTCCCATAACACCCAACCGCGTAAGGGACGCAAAATCAAGGAACATAACACCGCTATGACGGAAACTAGGGCGACAAGAGTGGAACAAAACACCAGGCATAAGGTCGAGCCTTCCACCCTTTACCAAGTATATAGATGCATTAATTAAATAAGAGATAATATTATATCCCAACATATCCATGTTCCAACAAGGAACAAACTTTAGCTTCACCTGTAACTAGCAACGCTATAAGAGGGGCTGAGCAAAGCGGTAACATAGCCAAACAACGGTTTGCTAGGAAAGGTGGGTTAGAGGCTTGACATGGCAATATGGGAGGCATGATAAAGCAAGTGGTAGGTATCGCGGCATAGCAATAGAGCGAGCAACTAGCAAGCAAAGATAGAAGTGATTTCGAGGGTATGGTCATCTTGCCTGAGATCCCGCAAGGAAGAAGAACGAGTCCATGAAGAAGACAAAGGGACGGAGTCGAACGAATCCTCACAACTACGGAACGGAACCAAAGCTAACGAGAGAAGCAACCCGGAAAGAAGCAAGCAACATAGTAAACAACCATCACATAAACATGGCATGATGCACAACCAAGTATGATGCATATCTGGTTTAATGAGGCATGGCATGGCAAAGTGCACAAGCAAAACTACAAGTTAAGTTGCATATTGACGGAACACCACATCAATTATTTACTTCTCTCTCGTTTATGTACTCAATAATATTAAATGTTGTTAAACATGGCAAGAGATGAAGCATAACAAAACTATATTATCTAAACAATTTAAATGGGGCCGGATATAACAAGCAACAAATCCGGTAATCCCCATATGCATTAGCAATTTGGTGCAACAACAATTTTAAACATTTAAATGTTATTATCATGATGTGAATGGCATGGGCAAGATTTATGCAGTATTTATGAAAATGTTGACATGATAAGATATGAGGCATTTGTCATCGTGGCAGAAACGAAAGGGGTGCCACGGCAACAAATCCGAAAATGATGCCACGGCAACATTCCGACGACCCAGTAGCTCATAGAGATACCGGTGCAAAAGGAAGTGGGTGTGAGTGCGCTATGCAAGATGACGGGGTGCTCCCAGATACCGGGTTCCCACATGTCGGTGACAAGGCAAAAGAGGGGCAACGTGCATCGACAGTTCAGACTCGAGGCGAACAAGGGTGCATCTCATACAACATGCATTCATTCTTCACGGGCGTCGTTCCGGCGGTTATACGTTCGAAGCATGCGTTTTTCGAAGCGTATCGAGTTCGTCGAGGGAAGTAGTGGTTCACGTTCTTCGTGAAAGTAGCGGTTCACATGATGGTAGTTGAACTTGAAGCTTGCGTTACATGGGTCTTCGGCGACGGTCGTCGTACATGGTTCGGAGTGGTACTTGCATCTTCGGACTTGTCGGTCTCGATTCTTGCGACGGTAGCGGTACATGTTTCATTTTTGGAGAGGTACTTAACGAATCCAACGTGTTCGGGGAGACGGTAGTTGGTTCATAGACGGACTTGACGGGTCCGAGGGCTCCGGCCATCATGGTACTTGGCGCAACACCGTGTAGTCGTACATTTGAAGAGGAACTTGGCCATCCGAAGGTGTACTTGGTGAACAACGATCATCGTGGTACTCATCAGTCTATGAAGTCATTCTTGTAGGTCTTGGCATTAGTAGTGGTACACGAGTTGTAACCGGCCTTGGCGGGTCACCGAAGCCAACGGGGTCGAGGTACATGGCGTCGAAGTGGGCTCCGGGGTACTTGTCGGCTTGGGGCCAGAGGCGTTCGGTCCAACGAGCGCCACATGTGCATGGAGGCAGCAACAGGACAGAAGGAAGACGAGGTCAGCCGGCGGCACCGGAACGTGGCGGAGCTGCAGGAGTTCGCCGGAGAGCAATTGCAGGGGAGGCATGGCGGCGCATGGTGGTGGCTGCGAGCTCCTGCGCAGGGGAAGGAGAGGGCAGCCTAGTGGTCCACCAAATGGAGCAGGGGAGGTCGATGCGGTCAACGGGAAGAGCACCAGCAGGACGAAGCGGACGGCATCGACCTTGGCGCGGAACAAGGGAGGCAGAGCTCCTGATCGAGCAGAGGGCTCGGGCGCGGGACTTGAGGCACTGGAGGCGATGGGGCTAGGCAGGCCGGAGCAGAGCCAAGAGGAGGAGGTCGCGGGCGACTGACGGCGGGGCTTGAGCTCCCTGCGACACCCAGGGCGAGGACGGAGACGCGAGACGAGGACGAGGAAGACAGAGATGGTGCAGGGCAGGTTGTCGGCGAGGGCGGCGGAGAGGTCCGGCTCGCCGGGCCGGCGGACGGCAGGGCAAGGGCCGGCGCGGATGCGGGGCCTCGCTGGTGGCCTGCTAGTCGGGCATGAGGAAGGAGACAAACGAGAGAGGAGGGTCGAGCAGGAGGCAGCGGGCAGAGGAAGAGATGGGATCGAGCGATGCTGGTCTTTGGCGGCGCAAGCAGGGAGACGAGAGGAGAGAGGAGTCAGGCTCGCTGGTGCTAGGTTAAAGAGGAGGTGGGCCGGTCCAGTGAGCTGCAGATGGGCTAGCCAGCTGGGCTCTTTCTCTCTCCCTCGTATTTCTTTAGTAGAAAAGAAAATAAAGAGAGGAAAAGAAAGAGAGGGTTTGGGGTTGAAGGAGAGATGGAGGGACATATTTCTGGAAACCATGAAATATGCCCGATTTAATCAAATTAGTTTGGGAATTTTTATAGACTATAATTTAAACATGTTTGAATTTAATTCAAACTTGCATGAATTTATAACCTAACCAAACTGAATCCAAATGGGCTTAAATTTTATAGGACGACCCTACATAATAAATATGATTTATGGGCAAAATATGAACATTTATTTGGGAAATTCTATTTGCAACTCAAATAAATAGAGAAAAGGGAAAGAAGGAAGTGGCATAGGGATTTGAAACTTGGGTGAAATCAAGTTGGAAGTGAGCATGGGGTTGATGGAAGGATCAAGAGAAGAAAAGAAGTTGCAATGCACATGAGCAACTAAATTAAACAAACACAACAATGGTATGGAGAAGATGCATGATGCAAAATAAAATAAAATAAACATCACAAGCGAGCAAGCACGCATGAACATGATGGATGCAAATGCACATGATGCAAAAAAAAAAAAAGCAACGAACCAAACAAATCACACGACGAAACTCGGAAAACAAGGAAGGCATCTGAAGCTCCGGTCTTGGGGCGTCACAGGGAAGTTCCCTCCCGGATGGGGAAATCATCGTCATCATCATCACCAACAAGTCTCCCATCTTGGGGAGGGCAATCTCCATCAACATCTTCAACAACACCATCTCCTCTCAAACCCTAGTTCATCTCTTGTGCTCAATCTTTGTACCGAAACTATAGATTGGTACATGTGGGTGACTAGTAGTGTTGATTACATCTTGTAGTTGATTACTATATGGTTTATTTGGTGGAAGATTATATGTTCAAATCCATTATGCTATTTAATACCCCTCTGATCTTGAGCATGATTATCATTTGTGAGTAGTTACTTTTGTTCTTGAGGTTATGATGACTACTACACAACCTTCTTCTTGTAGACTCGTGTTGGGCCTCCAAGCGCAGAGTTTTTGTGACGCCCCAAGACCGACACTCCCGATGCCTTTCCTGTTTTCGGGTTTCGTCGTGTGATTTGTTTGGTTCGTTGCTTTCATCTTTGCATCTTTTGCATTGCATCATGTCATCATGCCATATTTTTCTCAACAATCAAATCGTATGGATCTTCGATCCATTTAAACCGAGGGAATTCACATGGTGTTTCTCTTTAGAATATATACTCCAAATATTATTAGGGAGCTATATAAAACATTCCATTAGTTTGGAATTAACCGCAACAAACTTGCATTATATATCTCTCTCGTTTCTAAACTTTTTTTTTTGCATCCATGATCTTTCCTCCAAGGCCCTTCTCCAAGTGCAAACCATCACTTCTTCCTTCTTGCAAATTTCACCCACTTATTGCAAGTGCCATTATTTTTTGTTTCGTAAAATGTTCATTCTTTTCCTATTAATCTTAAACCATTCCTACACCCTCTCTGCCAAATTTCAGATCCTTTGGAATTGTTTTGGTCGGATTCAAAAATGGCTCAAGTTTGAATCTAATTCAAACTTGAATTATTTTTCTATCTCTAAAAATTGCCAAACCATTTTATTCTATTTGTGCAAAGTTCCAGCGCTCCAAAAATATTTTATTTTCTGAAATATTCTACCTCTAACCCCTCTTTCTATTTTTCTTTCGTTCCCCTGGTTATTTTTCTCTAAATTGATAGAGAGAGATCGCTGGACGACCTGCGGCCAGGCCTATGGTCATATCCCAGCCAGCCCACCCATCTCCGCGGCCCAAGGCCCACCTAAGCCCGTGCTAACCCTAAGTCCTTCCCCCCGATCCACATCTCTCCCTCGTCGTTCCCTTCCACCGCTGCCACGCACGCACATCGCTCAGGAGAGGAGCGCACGCCCCGTGCTCGATTCCCTCCTCCCTCGATGCGCCGCTAGAGAGGGAGAGCTGCCGCACCTCCCTCTTCTTCCCCTGCTCTGGTCAACGCCAAACCGCCACCTTGGAGCTCCACCGCCGCCAAGCGCCACCAGCTCCTCCTCCCTCGTGTGGCTCTTTCCCTACCTCCACCGCGAGCCCACCATGGCGCCGCTACCTCACTATAGATGTGGCTGTGCTTGCTGCTGCACCTCCTGCCGGCCCCTGCTGAGGCATGGCCGTCTCATCAGCAAGCTCGCCTCCGTCCGTCCTGCGTTGCGCCCCTGCTGGCCTCGCCGGAATTCGTCAAGTTCAGCACAGCCGCGCCCTCTAACCTCCCCTGTTACCCGCGCCGTCACCGTTCGTCTTCAACCCCGGGACCGCTGCTTCGTCATCCACCTCGGCTCTGGCCACCATGAACGCCTCTTGCCCAAGCTCTTCCTCCTGTGGGGTGTAGAGCTGCACCACCACCACCCGGAGGCCCCTTGCAGTCTTCGTTTCGGAACACCAAGAAGCTGATGGCACTAGGGTGCGCCAAGTTCCACTAATGTTGACCCCGGGTATCTACCATACGTGGACCTCTATGATCGATGTGGAACCGTCAAGTACAACTACTCTACGTTGATACGGGAATCACTAACATCGCAAGAACCAAGACTGGCAAGTCCGAAGACCCCAAGTACCACGACAATTGACGCATGGTACCACTACTTTTGTCGTGTACATCTACCGTCGCTGATGATCCATGTAGCACAAACGCGAGATGTGTACCACTACTTCCCCTATCGCCGTGAGTACCTCTAACGATCCCGACCATCGGAGCATGTACGACTACCGTCATGAAGACCGGTGGACCATACCACGTCAAGTTCCACTACCTTCATGAGTACCACTACCGTCGACCCTTGAAGCCTCCGTGGACGTCAAGTTCCTCGCCGTGACCCCGAACATCTACGGAAAATTGTGCGACTAAGAACGTGAACGACTACCATCGCCGAGGACAAATAGTACCACTACTTCCACAACGACGGTCCCGAGAACGTCTACTTCCTCTACTTTGCACCGAACCTGAACCGTCCCATTCGCACGCTTTGAAGGTATAACCGCCAAGACGATGACCCGTGGATGAATGCATGAGTGTATGAGATGCATGTTTGGATGTTGTACCCGCCCGTGAACGTTAGTTGTTCCTCCTTGTTGCCACGCCGTCGATCCGTGGGAACCCGGTATCCGGGATCACCCCACCATCCGTGCATGACATGCTCCCATCATTTTTCCTTTTGCACCGGTATCTCCATGAGCTACCGGAAACGTTATGTTGCCGTGGCATCATTTTTGGATTCATTGCCGTGGCACCCCTTTCGTTTCCACCACGATGATAAATGCTTCATAATATGCTCATGTCAACATTTTCATAAAATTGCATAAACTTGAACATGTCATCCGCATCATGATAATAAAATTTAAAATGTTAAAAATTGTTGTTGCATTAAATTTCTAATGCACATGAGGATTTACCGGAATTGTTGTTTGATGTTTCCGGCCTCATGTAAATGCCTAACTGTGTTTTTATTACTTATGCTTCACCTCTTGCCATGTTTAAACAACATTTAATTTTGTTGAGTAGTTTAAACGGGAGAGAACTAAATTATTAAATGTGGTGTTTCTTCAATATGCAACTTGTTGCATATTGAACTCCACTTAATTTGTAGTATTGTTTGATGCTCTTTGCCATGCCATGCATATTTAAACCGGACATGCATCATACTTGGTTGTGCATCATGCCATCTTATGCTTGGTTGTTTACTATGTTGTTTGCTTCTTTCTGGTGTTGCTTCTTCGGGTTAGTTCCAATAACGTCGCGTTTGTCAGGATCCGTTCGACTACGTCTGTTTGTCTTCTTCATGGACTCGTTCTTCTTCCTTGCGGGATCTCAGGCAAGATGACCATACCCTCGAAATCACTTCTATCTTTGCTTGTTAGTTGTTCGCTCTATTGCCCTGTCGCGTTACCTACCACTTGCTTTATCATGCCTCCCATATTGCCATGTCAAGCCTCTAACCCACCGTTCCTAGCAAACCGTTGTTTGGCTATGTTACCGCTTTGCTCAACCCCTCTTATAGCGTTGCTAGTTGCAGGTGAAGATGAAGTTTGTTCCATGTTGGAACATTGTTATGTTGGGATATCACAATATCTATTATTTAATTAATGCATCTATATACTTGGTAAAGGGTGGAAGGCTCGGCCTTATGCCTGGTGTTTTTTTCCACTCTTGCCGCCCTAGTTTTCGTCATACCGGTGTTATATTCCTTGATTTTGCGTTCCTTACGCGGTTGGGTGTTATGGGAACCCCTTGACAGTTTGCTTTGAATAAAACTCCTCCAGCATGGCCCAACCTTGGTTTTACATTTTCCTAACAACCTATACCTTTCCCTTGGGTCGGCCAACCCGAGGGTCATCTTTATTTAAACCCCCCGGGCCAGTGCTTCTCTAAGTGTTGGTTCGAACCGAGCTGCCTGCGGGGCCACATCGGGGAAACTCGAGGGCTGGTTTTACTCGTAGCCTGTCTCATCCGGTGTTGCCCTGAGAACGAGATACGTGCGACTCCTATCGGGATTGTCGGCACATTGGGTGGCTTTGCTGGTCTTGTTTTACCATTGTCGAAATGTCTTGTAACCGGGATTCCGAGACTGGTCGGGTCTTCCTGGGAGAAGGAATATCCTTCGTTGACTGTGAGAGCTTGTGATGGGCTAAGTTGGGACACCCCTGCAGGGTTTTGAACTTTCGAAAGCCATGCCCACGGTTATGGGCAGATGGGAATTTGTTAATATCCGGTTGTAGAGAACTTGTCACTTAACTTAATTAAAATGAATCAAATGCGTGTGTAGCCGTGATGGTCTCTTTCCGGCGGAGTCCGGGAAGTGAACATGGTTTTGGAGTTATGTTTGAACATAAGTAGTTTCAGGATCACTTCTTGATCACTTCCAGTTCACGGCCATTGCGTTGCTTCTCTTCTCGCTCTTATTTGCGTATGCTAGCCACCATATATGCTAGTGCTTGCTGCAGCTCCACCTCACTACCCTTTTCCTACCCATAAGCTTAAATAGTCTTGATCTCGTGGGTGTGAGATTGTTGAGTCCTCGTGACTCACAGATACTTCCAAACAGTTGCATGTGCCGATGATACCAGTGCAGGTGACGCAACCGAGCTCAAGTGGGAGCTCGATGAAGATCGTGTTCGTTGTGTTGTTTTGTTTCCTGTTGATCAGTAGTAGAGCCCAGTTGGGACGATCGGGGATCTAGCAATTGGGGTTGTCTTCCTTTATTTTGGTTCCGTAGTCAGACCTTGATTGTATTCTTGTATGATGGATGGTTTAATTTTGTATTGTGTGAAGTGGCAATTGTAAGCCAACTCTTTATCCCTTTCTTATTCAGTACATGGGATGTGTAAAGATTACCCCTCTTGCGACATGCCTACCATGCGGCTATGCCTCTAAGTCGTGCCCCGACACGTGGGAGATATAGCCGCATTGTGGGTGTAACTGTTTTGTAGGACAGTAGCAATTTTCCCTCAAGTGGATGACCTTAGGTTTATCAATCCATGGGAGGCGTAGGATGAAGATGGTCTCTCTCTCAAACAACCCTGCAACCAAATAAAAAAGAGTCTCTTGTGTCCCCAACACAACCAATACAATGGTAAATTGCATAGGTGCACTAGTTTGGCAATGAGATGGTGATACAAGTGCAATATGGATGGTAGATATAGGTTTTTGTAATCTGAAAATATAAAAACAGTAAGGTAACTCGTAACAAAAGTGAGCGAAAACGGTATTGCAATGCTTGGAAACAAGGCCTAGGTTTCATACTTTCACTAGTGCAAGTTCTCTAAACAATGATAACATAATTAGATCATATAACAATCCCTCAACATGCAACAAAGAGTCACTCCAAGGTCACTAATAGCGGAGAACAAACAAAGATATTATTGTAGGGTACGAAACCACCTCAAAGTTATTCTTTTTGATCGATCTATTGGGCTATTCCTATAAGTGTCACAAACAACCCTAGATTTCGTACTAAAATAAGACCTTAAGACACACATAAACCAAAACCCTAATGTCACCTAGATACTCCAATGTCACCACAAGTAACTGCGGCTTTGATTATACAATATGCATCACACAATCTCAGATTCATCTATTCAAACCAACACAAAGAACTTCAAAGAATGCCCCAAAGTTTTTACCATAGAGTCAAGACGAAAACGTGTGCCAACCCCTATGCATAAGTTCATAAGGTCACAGAACCCGCAAGTTGATCACCAAAACATACATCAAGTAGATCACGTGAATATCCCATTGTCACCACAGATAAGCACATGCAAGACATACATCAAGTGTTCTCAAATTACCATGTTGTTTAAATAATCTCAAAATAATATAAGTGAAGCATGAGAGTTCATCAATTTCTTCAAAATAAAACCATCGCCGTGCTCTAAAAAGATATAAGTGAAGCACTAGAGCAAATGACAAACTACTCCAAAAGATATAAGTGAAGATGATTGAGTAGTTGAATAATTATGTAACTATGTGAAGACTCCTTCTCATAAATAAAATTTTGGATCTTAATATTTTATTCAAAAAGCAAGCAAACAAAATAAAATGACATTGCAAGGATATCACATATCATGTGAAGAAGCAAAAACTTAGGTTCAACCAAACTGACCGATCATTGTTGAAGAAGAAAGGTGAGATGCCAACCGGGGCATCCCCAAGCTTAGATGCTTGAGACTTCTTGGAATATTAACTAGGGATGTCTTGGCCATCCCCAAGCTTGAGATTCTATTTCTCCTTAATTCCTCTGATATCACGGTTTCCCTAATTCTTAAAAACTTCATCCACACAGAACTCAACAAGAACTCGTGAGATAAGTTAGTATAAATCCATGCTAAACCTTATCATTCTCTACTATAGAAAATCACCAAAATTACAATTTGACATTGCATACTAAATGCCTCTGCATATTTAAGAGTCCTATCCTCAAATAGAATCATTAAACAAGCAAACATATGCAAACAATGCAATCATAACAGCAATCTGTCTAAACATAACATTCTGTAAATAATGCAAGAAGAATCATACTTCTTTAACTCCAAAAATTCTGAAAAATTACCACACTATAGATAATTTGTTGTTACTCATTGTTTAAAAAATTTCAAGATTTTATCATGTTCTGACTATTCACCAATATTCAAAACATAACAACAAACTTTCTGTTTTCAAACAGCAACATATAGACTTGCAAAATAAGCATGGTAAAGGCTATACTTGACCTTTTATTGGAATAAAAGATGCCAAATATTACTATAAATAACTGCAAGAAAATACAAATAAAAGAAAATGATGCTCCAAGCAAAACTCATATCATGTGGTGAATAAAAATATTGCGTCAAGTAAATTTACCGATGGACGAAGACGAAAGAGGGGACGCCATCTGGGGCATCCCCAAGCTTAGTTGCTT